TTGGGCAGACTGAGCACTGATTGGGCAGGAAGAGGTGCGGTGATCAGCGGGGACGAGTTGTATTTAAAGTGAAGTCAAGTCAAGTCAGCTCTGGAGAAGTGGTGAGGTAGACGTGAGCAAAGTTAGGTCTTCCGGGCTGAATTTACTCAAGCTCCATTTTTACAGGCAAACATTTGAAAGAGTATAAATGATTGTTTCAAATCATCACCATCATCATCATCATCATCATTATCATCATCATATTTTATAATATTTAGTTAATCCAGGATTTTCAGTCTGTTGGTTAGTTGTTCAATCTGTATAATTTACATAGCATACTGTTACTTTGGTTTAAACACTTCATTCTTCTTGCTTTATTTGTATGAATAAGCATGATTTGTGATGGTTGGAGAGACTGTAGTTGTAAAAGTTCTCAAAGTACATTATATAAACCTATTAACTGCATTATTATTCAATCCTTAAAGGTGCACTATGTAACTTTTTGGTTGGGCATCCATCACCTGCTTCTACAATCTTCCACAGTACGAGGTTAAACAGCTCTACCTTACATTTATTCAATCGCAGGTGTCATTATTGCTCAAAAATACCTGAAAAACACACATTCTACACATTCTCCACAGATATGACTTGTAACTTGGTCTGATTGGTCTCCATAAAGATAGAAAGGTTTAACGCCATACTGTGAAACATTCCAGACAAAGCAATCACATCTCCTTGGATAAAAGCATATGACTGCCCTCCACCAGAAAAGTTACACAGTGCACCTTTAACAATGCAGATTCAGGCTCAGAAGAAGAAGAAGAAGAAAGAAACTCCTATATAGTTAAAATGGTGCTTTCTTCTCATCGAGTATGACCTAAGGGACTCCAGTGACGGTAACGCAATTCAACTGAAGTTTGGGAGTGAGCTGGCGCAGGCATATGGCGAGGAGACGGAGAGAGCTTCAGGAGTTGTGATGTCATTGTAAATCCAAGCGAAGGGGGGTAGATAAAGATTAAGGGGACCAGAAAGGAGAACGTGGGAGGAGAGGAGAGGGAAAAAAATAAAAAGGCGTTAAAGTGCCTCAATAGAGATGGTATAGGGGAGAGAGGGAAGGATGAGAATGCAGCATGGGCGAGAGACATAGACACAACAAAAAGAGAGAGAGTGGAGGAGAGAGAGAGAGAGAGAGAGGGATGGAGGGGCTACACAACGGGCATCGTAGAGCGCAATACAGATGTGCGAGGAGAGAGCGCGACAAAGAGGCTCTGGAGCAACTTAAGAAAACGTGTAGCATTAATTTAACCGCAGATGGACTAAAAAAAACTGGACTTTATTGTAAAAACAGGAGAAGAAGAAGAAGGCAGAAAGGTGGTGTGGGTTACTGGCATCATCTGTAACTGTCAACCTGGAAGCCACTAACAAAGGAAAAAGGAGTGACCAGTCCAGGCAGGGACAACCTGAACATTGAAACAGGTAGGCGGCAGATACAGTTTAAAGACAGATTAAATGATGTGCAATTGGATAGTAATTGGTTATGTAAATGTAGCGGAAACTGCATGTTATATTATGTAGTCTGGACTGTCTAAAAATCAGGTTTTGAAAGTGATGCTATAAGTAAGCAATAAAACAACAAAAAATATCAACAATAATGAATAATGGTTTAATGGACCTCTGCCAAGGCATTGCACCCAAAGCGTAATGCAAAAAAATGTGTGCACAGACCTCAATTCAAACTCTCCTAGTTAAAGATCTAAATTATCTTTTTTATTAAACCATATTTGTTTCATCTCAGGTTAAGTATATAATCAAAATAATAATCTTGTGAAGGTGGAATGAAATGATTTAAAACACCCGTAAATACAAACTGTAATTTGGATCCATCCCAAAACATCTGTCCTTCTTATTCACACAACGCTCAGTATTTAATTGTGTTTACATGAGGTTAGCCAGTCGACATCTGCAGTAATTAGTGAAGACATCAAAATATGACATACAAAAATAGGAAGAAAGCCAGCCTCGAGCCAGTGCTGCCTCACAAACCCTGAACAAGGCATGAGATAAATATATACATGAATAAATTATTAGTAGGTATCAATTGGCTTTCATTTTCACCATTAGCAAGAGAAAACTCATTGAAGCTTATGTGTGCTGTAATATGCAATGATCAGGCATTTGAATAATACATTATACTCCTAATTGAAAGGCTTTTGGTGCTGTTATGGTTATTTGGAGGTGCACTAACCCAGCACTAATGTGGTTTCCTAGTGTAAAGATTGCTTCTGGGATATGTTAGCGCTGATTTGTTTAGCTTTGATGGAAGGTGTGTTGCTAAATTGGAGATTTATGTCCCCGGCGATGTTAAGGGATTTATATGACGCTTATGGCTTGGCTATTGGGAATCTTTGATGAGTTAAAAGACAGCTTAAGTTATTATCAGTGCGGAGATCTGAGGAGAGATGCCTACTGAATAAATTATGAGACTGCGGCCACCTACAATCTCAGGTAAAGCATTGTAATATTGGCATGTGTGGAAATGGATTGACATAGATACAGAAAAGCAGAGGTTTTAGTGGTAATAGATGGATCCTGCCATGGCCAATAGATTTCACCGTTTGGGAGAGTATTGATTATAGAGTTAGCAGACTGGATTTTGCCATTGTTGTTCTTTAAATGTCCTATATTGTGCAAAATTGACTCTTAGGAGCTGTAAACCATGTTATAATCTTGTTACCTCAAAAACATACCTGGAGTTGTGCTTTGTTTCATTCACACATGTTTGAGTAATCCTGTGTTATTAGTCTGTTCAAAATGCTCCTGCGCCTTGTGATGTCATGAAGCAGTAGTTTTCAGGTTGACAGCTACCGTTGACCTTTAGCTGAGTAGAGATGGGCTGAAATCATCCAAATCATTCTAGTGAAGGTGTATGTAGTTTAAAAACACAGTGGAGCACTTTCTGTATAACCACAATACATCACAAGGTGGAACAGAGTATTTTCTGACTGAGAGAAGAACTCAGCCTAAATATGCAGGATTTGTGTGACCATGTGTATGAAACAAAGCACAACTGGATATATTTTCAATGAGGATACACATTAAAACAGATCCAGAAAATAGCGTAATATGGGTAATGATTTTCAAAATGAGGAAAGGCACGTCTAAGGTTAGTTGCATATGCAGTTCTCTTGAGGTTTGAGGCTGGGGAGATGCTGCCCCCAAGTGATACAACCAGGTCATAAAAGTCAGTGTAGCCTTGACAGAGATTGATTTGGGCTTCATGGGCTAATGTTTTTGACCTCTATAGGGGTTACTACCAAGAGCAAAAGCTGACTGTAGCAATACACGTTACCAGGGTTTAGCAATTAATCAAATTTTAATCAAGATCACGATTCGGTCAATGATGTGCTTGGGGATGGGTAGCCAGTCCAGTCAGTAAACTATCATTAAAATCAATATATGATTTTTGCCACATTGCCCAACGCTACATGTTACTATCAATACTGTAATTAACGTAATGTTTAGTGGGGGAACTTCTGTCTGTATACATCAATCATTTCTCAGGGGAAAAGATTAAGGAATTGTACAATGTTCCTATTTATTGATTTATCTATTAAAGATCAGGGCTATAGGCATGTGTCTAAGTGGCCAAAGATTTTGTGTTATTATCCCGTCTCTAGGGAATTTTGACATCTGTGTTGACTCGTATTGGGAAGCTAGTCAGTTAGTTACAAGCCCCGGAGACCTGTTTAAAGTACCTTGAGCCAGGATCATTCACAGTACATGGTGCATAATTACCCCTTTGATTATGTTTTTGATTAATGAGGTAAACTAGAGGAGACAGTGTCAAAATGCCTCTTAGAAACTATAAGATTTCGGGAGATAAGTGATAATCCATTAGAGCAACAGTAGTTTTATTTAAAAAAAAAAAAAAAAGTATAGTTAGTATAAGTATAAAAGTAAAGTCTTTTTTTCTGATATTTTTCTGAAAGTTGTGATTCTGAATGCAGTTCACAGTGCACATTATTGACACATCCAGGAGCGTTAACATTTGAGATATGACTGAAATAAGAACTACTAAACTAATACAAGAATCCCATGCGTTTGAGAGCATGTTTTGTAGAGGTCTAAACTACAGAGTTAGCACCTTTTTCGTGCAATAATACAATACAAAATTTTCATTCTCATTATTCCCCACCCTGTTCGTCATTAAGATTGAGCCCTTTTGGAAAAGATCAAAATATTACATAATCTATATAGGTAAGAAAGAATATAAGTTGAGTTTATTTGCTGATGATTTGCTGTTACACCTCAGCAAAGTGGAGACTTCTATCTCTAGTGTAATAAATATAATGAGTCCATTTTAAAAAAATCTGATTACAAAATAAACACTGGGAAAACTGAAGTTCTGGTGACTAGTTTACATTCTAGCAGCAAAATCACTGGAGCCTTTGCGATTTCATAATTGCAGCTCTACGAAATGTGATAACTGAGCAGCTCAACACAGCAATATTTCATAAATAAGCTGCCTGTTTCCAGTGTTGGAAAGTACATGTACTGAGTATACATATTTAGAATTTTATTTTTGAGTACTTGTATTCCAGTACAGTTACTCTTTCATTTGATGGTATTCACAATACAGTTACGTGTTTCATATTGAAGGAATACATGGCAGTGCTTGGTCAACGAATGTAGGCTTCAAACTGCACAGAATTAATGAGAAAATTATAAACACTGCTCCTGTGGTGAGTGCATGATCAACAATAAATAACAGTTTTCAGTCTTGTGTTGTGTTGTTACACTATAATTTAAATGGAACTCTGCCTGAAAGCATTCAAAGTATTCAGAATACAGTACTCTGATTGGCTCTAACTAAATGCATTTTGAAAGTATTCTTCCCATCACTGCCGATTTCCATATAAACCACAGGAAAATGTACAATGATATACACAAAAAAATCACCCAAGATTTCTGCCAGTCTTATCTTCTTTCTATTCTGTTGGAAGGGACCCAGACTCATCACTATGCCCTTCTTGCTTCACATCCCGCTGATCCTGTACATGACCTATGCGCAAGGGTGAGTAAAACACGGATTAGCACTTTAATGGAACTATTGTACTGGTGTTGTCACTTTCCAGAGAAACTCATTGCTTCATCGGCATATTTCTCAGTTCTTGAGTCCTCATTTTAATTGCCTGCAGTCATTGCCTCTTCTGTATTATCAGTGACTGCATGCACACTTCTAATCACTGGGGCGAATGGAACGACTCCCAACTTCTACCTACAATACAAAAGCTGATGAAGGGATACAACCGCTACCTCAGGCCTAATTTCAATGGTAGGGGCACACTTCTTGCTTCTAACAGTAGATATTGTGTTATAGGGCTGCATGACTTTTGGGGAAATTTTTTTTAAAAAGTAGGATTCTGTTCAGAGAGCACACTGCAAACTATTCCAGGAGTATTACCTGAAATATGATTGAAATATGAACTGATAAACTAAAACAACAATCCCATGCATTTTAGATTGAAGTCTAAACATGTACGTACTAGACAATATTGATGATGTGCAGTAGAATAGTAATTTGTTATATAAATGTAGAGGAAACAGCATGCTATATTATATAGTTTGGACTGTATAAAAGGAAGGGTTTTAAAGTGATGCTGAAAGTAAGCAATAAAACAGTAAATTAAAAAGCAACCACAAAAATGCACTATTTTCAGGAAAAACAAACATAAAACGATTACATTTATTTAAAAAGAGTGTACACTGTTAACAAGCTCCAGGAGTGACGACTGGAAAATGAACTGATAAACTAATCCAAGAACCCCATGCCTTTTAGTCTGTACAAGTCTAACTGCAGAACAAAGCATCATAAGAGCAGCTTTGTGCCTTCAGCAGTTATTCTTATGCACAAATCATAGCATTGTATTCTTCTGTTTTATATTATTAATATATTTATTCGACTGTGATTCTGAGCCAGCGTCAATGCTTGAATGTGTCTGTATTGTCTTAAAGGTGCATTGTGTAACTTTTCTGGTGGAGGGTTTGTCAAATGCTTTTCTTCATGGAGATGTTACTGTTTAATGTCGTACTGTGGAACATTCCAGGCAGAACAATGACATATCCATAGAAACAAGCAGGTGACGGACCTCAATCAAAAAGTTATAGAGTGCACCTTTAATGTGCAATGACGGCAAACATGAAAATTGTTGCAAACAAAAAAGTCACCTGAACCTGAACTAGATTATTCTACGAAAAGACAGGATACTTTGTTTTTTCCTGATAAAATTGTAGTATCAAAATAATTGCAGCCTATGTGATTTGATCATTGTGCCAACCCAGATTGCGAATTCACTTCAATTTTTATTTTGATTCAATCCGATATTTTGCACAGTCCTTTTCTATCATGGTTGCGAGCTGTCATCCTGCAGCAGTCTTTAATCAAACAAAACCTGTCTGTAACATGAAGCCATTTTTCAACATGGAAGCAATCAGTGTGTTTTCTATGTGTCAGGAAAAACTGTACTGTTTTTCAATTCCCAGTGGGGCCTGTGGAGATTGGAATGAGCTTGGATATCGCCAGTATCGATGCTATCTCTGAAATCAATATGGTATAGATTCTTCCAATATATTTTTAACTGTACGTTGATAGAGGTCAGTAAATTGGATTTTTTTTCCCCCTCTTCTTTGAACTAGGACTACACAGCCACAATTTTTCTGCGTCAGAGGTGGCGTGACTCCCGGTTGGTATTCCCAGGAAACGAGAGTGTGAGCGTGGATGGGCGTCTTGTATCTCTGCTGTGGATTCCTGATACTTTTATCCCAGATTCCAAGCGCTCCTTCCTACATGATGTGACAGTGGAAAACAGGCTCATTCGCATATTCAGCAATGGCACTGTTCTCTACGCATTACGGTAATTAGTTTATAATGGCAGCACTCAGAAAGCAAAGAAATGCTAATCCAACGCATTTCACTTTATGCCTTTTATGCTAATTTGGATACGGCCTTGAGTTTTTCTAAAGGAGAGCACTTGTCTTCAGTCATATGTACATGTCTGCGCAAATTGAGTCTCTTATTAGACTTATTATTTCTTGTGTCAGCCCTTAAAGTGTCCATAAAGTACAGGTCCTATATTACACAAAAAGGATTCTTGTGAGATGTTATATGTATATATGTTGTTACCTCATCAAAAACATGCCTGGAGTTGGGGTTTTGTTTCATTCACACATGTTTGAGTAATCCTGCGTTATTAGTCTGTCTTCATCTACAAAGCTGAAAATGCTCTGTTCCACCTTGTGATGTCATAGCGGTAGTATTACTACATGGCATTACAAGGTGAATACTAAAACATTTTGGAAAGACTGCTTAAAATTTATCAAAGATCATATTGACCCTAACTTTTCATTAAAATTTTAACATATTATTTTTGGTGTACATGAAAAGAACTTAGACCCAAATAAAAGAATGGCAATTAATTTAATTGTTGTATTTGGCAAATTTTATATTCACAAATGTAAATTCTCTCACACTTCTTTATTTTTTCCTGTTTTAATTAAGCAATTAGAATTATACCTATCTTCTATCTCTAAAAATGTAAACAAAAAAGCTGTACTGACATATGAAAGTTGTATGACCATGAATATTTTTGTATGAATGTAACAGTGGCGATTATGCTTTTCTTTCATGTATGCCTCCCCCGGTACTCTATTTGTTATGTTGTGTGTATATTGTTATGTTATTTTCTGTATTACCATTTGTCCTTTAATAAATACATTTTTGATATATAAAAAAAAAAAAAAAGACAAAGACATTACAAGGTGAATATGTATGGTTTGTGTGTGAAACATGTGTGAATGAAACAAAACACAACTCCAGGTACGTTTTTGATGAGGAAACTACATTGTAATATAGATCAGAAAATAGTGTAATACAGGTCCCTTAATAGTGGACTGGTTGGGAATTCCAGTTAAATCACTGTATCTAGTGTTTAGCAGTAGAACCACGCTGCATTCCTACAGTGTAAATAGTTGAGTCAACTCAATAATGGAGACCAGAATGGAGTTTTAAATAAAGCCCAAAGCATGGAGAACATGCAGTGAGAACCAACAACTTAATATGTTTGCTTTTTGGTGGATGTTGCACAAAGTATGATTTAAAGGTTAACTGTGTAACTTTTCTGACACCTGTTATGTTTAATGCCACACTGTGGAACATTCTAGGTAAGGCTATGACAAAACAGGTGGTGTACCCCTACCTGTAGAGTTATGAAGTGTAACTATGGACTTAAAACTATATTGTGTACATTGAAAAAAAAAAACCAAAAACAAAACCCCCAAAACTTTATTTAGTAAAATATTGGGTGTTTAAAGGTCCTATATTACACAACATTGATTCTAGTGAACTTGTGTTGTGAGATGTGTTTTGTTTCATTCACACATGTTCAAGTAACTCGTAATTAGTCTGTCTACATCTCCAAAGTTCCACCTTGTGATGTCATGTAGTGGTAGTTTTCAAGTTAACAGCTACCTTTTACCTTTTGTTGAGTAGAGATTGACAGTCCCTGCCTAGTGAAGGTGTATGGCTTTTAAAAACACAGTAGAGCACTTCCTGCATTATCAGGACATCATCTGTTCTTTCTGCTTGAGTGAAGAACATGATGAAGAAATATACATTTTTTGTTAAATATGTGTGAATCAAACAAATCACAACTCCAGGCATGTTTTTGATGATGAACAGCACTATGACCATAGCCTGTATATTTATTGTGGTCCCTCTCTCTGTAATTGCTGCAGTAAACCTCACCATTTTGGTCTTAAAATGTTCATATTAACCCGCTCTATGTGATCCCGATGTTTTTCCTGCTATTTTGTCCCTTTAAAAAATCCTACTCATCCTCTGTAACCGTTCAAGCTACATGTGAGTGGAGCTATGGGTGACATGACACTACCGTAGTCCACTTCTTTATACAGTCTATCATTATAGCACGGATCAGAAAATAGTGTAACATGATCCCTTTAGATAAAGTCAAGATAAAGCATGAAACCATCTGGAAATATATTTTTAGGGATCAGTGGTTTGATGGGACAGATATGAAGCCGGTCAGGGACTTGGAGGAGACACACATCACAGCTCACATCAGACACTTTATTCTCATATGACTGTCTCTATAGGGAAACATTATTCATATTATGGAGTAGCATTGTCCATATTTCCATCTGTGTACTGATAGGTATAATAATAAAAACAGGAAACATAAAATAATATTGTACAAAGTATTTCTAAACCAAAACTCTAGGGACTCCCACCCTGACGTGTAGGTGAATCTTGACATATATCTTCTGATCAATACCTAATTAAAACACCCAGTATATACATATATTGACACATAGGGGACTTGTTGAAGTTCTTTGCTTTCGTAACATAATTGATCTCCATGTGTCAGTATCAAAGGCCTCATCAATATTTATGTATGTGCACAACAGGATCACAGCTACCATAGCCTGCAACATGGATCTTACCAAGTACCCTATGGACCGTCAAGAGTGCACCCTGCAACTAGAAAGCTGTGAGTAGTATCTGTGAAGTAGTCCGCATGTATTATTTACCCACCATCTGAACATAAAGTGTCAAACCAATGTCATTTCACTCATCACTCATCACCACAGATCCATCTTCATCCTCATAGCTCCTCTTGTGTGTATAGTGAATATATACTGAATGCTGAACAGCTGCATCTGTCATGTTTAAAGGCACCCTAAGTCATTTTTTGATTGGAGATCCATCACCTGCTTGTTTCTATGGATATATGCACTGCTCTGTCTAGAAAGTATGACACTAAACAGTTCTAATTTACATTTATTCAATCACAGGTGGTTTTATTACTCAAAAATACCTTGAAAAACAGGCATTCTGACTGTGAGCGGGGTTGCCTTTCCACAGATCTGACCTGTAACTTGGTCTAATTTGGTCTCCATGAAGATAGAAGGGTTTATACTGTGAAACATTCCAGAAAAAGCAATAACATCTCCATGAAAAAAAGCATTTAATGGACCCTCCACCAGAAAAGATACTCAGTGCACCTTTAAGGGAGGCTAGGAGGAGGATAGAATACTGAAAAGTTGATGTAGGCGTGTGTGTTTACGTTGTTTCTATGTTCAGGGGGCTACAACTTGCAGGATGTTGTGTTTTATTGGACCCGAGGGAATGATTCTGTACGAGGCCTGGACACACTGCGGCTGGCTCAGTACAGTGTGGAGAGCTATTACACCACTGTGGCAGAGGCGGTGTATGAGACAGGTAATGTATACTAACACTATGCACCACTGCTCAGTCTTATCGCTGTAAAAGGCTGACACTGCAGGAGTACCTCTGCGCATGTTGGTGTAGGGAGTCATAAAGGAGCACTCACCTTATGCTGATTATGAAGAAGATGATCCAGGTATGCAGTGTTGGAGGTTTATTTGTGTTAAAGGGACTTCTGAGTTTTAAGCTATGTTATAATATTAGACTGTATATATACATAGCTGCGTTACAAATACGAAATTCTCATGTGGGCTCTTCCAGCTCCTACTGACCCTGGCTCCCATTAACTAACTTTGGAATATTGTCGCCCCTCTCCCTGTAACTGCTGCTGCGAGCCTCATCATTTTGGTCTTAACATGTTTGTATTAACCCACTCTACATGATCCTGGTGTTTTTTTTCTGTCCGTCAAGTGAATCCTATGCATAATATAGAGCCTGACTCCGCATTCGCCCCTGTAATGGTCAGCATCACAATCTACATTCGAGTGGCGCTGAACGTCATAGTCACTTAGTCCACTTTTTTATGCAGTCTGTGGTTATAATTTTGTTACCTCCGCAAAACCATACCTGGAATTGTGTTTTGTTCCATTCCAATGTTTGAGTTTAGTGTGGCCGAGTGGAAAGGGGCCGGGGGTAGCACTCAATTTTTCCTTTATTAAAGATCCCAAACCAAATTCTAAATATTGTTGCCAACAACGCCACCTAGTAGGGGGACTAGGACCCAATAAAAAGGCCAGGGTTCAATACCCAGGGGTGAGCAGTAATTAAAACCAGAGATTAAAAACAATTCCAGTGAATTTATTACAACTTTAAGTTAAGTAAATAAAAAAATAAAATACACAGTTAAAAGTATGTTGAACCTAGGCTAAAACAATTAACAGTTGCTAAAATGTCAACAAAAAAAAAGGAAAAAGAAGGCTGAAGAGTTTATCCAGGGCAGAGCATTGGAACCAACTCCTTCCCCCCGGCTTCAGCGTTGTAGCCCTCCACGCACGCTCCCCTGGCCGCCTTCTCCACTCCGCGGCTCGGCCCTGCCACAGAAGAGAGCTGCCAGTGGGGAGAAAACGTGAACCCCTTCGCGCTGCCCCACCCTTGTGTGGGAAACTCAGATTTGGAGCGGCTTTTTCCCCAGCCGCTCCGCTCGATCACCAGGCACGGATTGTGTCCAATAGGTCCACCTGGATCCCCCGGGCCGTGTTGCACCGATCCGCCAGCTCTGTCAGGAAAGTAGTCGCCAATGGGGAGGTGACACTGCTCCCCCCCAATGTACCCACCCTTCGTGTTAGGACTCACCGATTGTGAGCGGCTTTCCCTCAGCCGCTCTGCACGAACACCAAGCGTTGGGAGGGTACATAAAAGGTCTCCAGCTCTTCCACGCCACACCGTTGCGTCCCACGCCTGCGTTCTCTGCCCTAGGTCCGTGTACTCCCCGTCTTGTCGCCGCACCGTATCCTTTCCGGCCCGCTCCGTCCAACTTGCCTTTTAACACTCCCCAATTGACCCACTTTCCGTCCCGTGCTGCGCAATAAGCAACAGGTGTGCGCAGCCAATGTCCCTCTCGCTCCTCAGGTTGGGGTTGTGGTCTAAACATAATAAAAAAAAAAACACAGCCCTTTGCAAACAGAAACCCAAATATACATACAATGAAAACAAATCATAACAAACTAAAATAATTTGAAACGCACACAAACCATGCAACAAAAACAATAAAGGGCATCTTCCCACATTAGTTATCATTAGTCTGTCTACTTCTCCAAAGTTCAAAATGCTCTGTTCCACCTTGTGATGCCAAGAAGCAGTAGTTATTTCAGAGCTGAAATTATCGAAATTATTCTAGTGAAGATGTATGGAGTTTAAAAACACAGTGGGGCACTTCCTGTATTGCCACATGACATCACAAGGTGGAGCAGAGTGTTTTCTGTTTTGAGAGAAGAACTCAGCCTACAAAACACAACTCCAGGTCTGTTTGTAATGAGGAAACAACATTAAAACATAGATCAGAAAACAGCATAATATGGGCCCTTTAATATATTTTTCTATAGAAGGATACTCTATTTGAATTATTATTGTTGATAAATAGTTGCTGTTCTAGCTTTGATTAGTTCATTCAAGTACATTTTATCTACATTTCTGTTCCCCATAGCTCTTGGTTTGGCTCTTTGGTTTGGATTATAGACCTGGTTAAGATCTGATGGTACTCGCAAGGCAAAATCTTTTCTTGGTGATACTTGGTGCTTGAGAACCACAATTCTGCCTTATTATCAAATTAATTTGTTGACTAAAATCTCCGTCAAGGTGTCTTTGTTTGGTGAATTTATCCAACTGCATTTCTAACAGTATTGGGTATTCTCTGCTCACTTACAAATAACTGAAAGATAAACATCCTCACTTTCTAAGATGAAGCTGTTTAAAGTGTTTTGTTCATTATTGTCTTCCAATGTCTTCTTTATTTTGTCGTCTAGTTGATGTGCAGCAAAAAGCCAAGGCAGCACTGCAATGTTTTTTTTTTTTTTTTTTTAAATATGCCCATAGCAGTAATGTTGGATTAGACCAGATGTATTGTTTTAAGTGTTTATAGCAAAAGTGCTCATTTTCAACCTGGTCATGGGGCTTTTAAAGAGGTTTAGAGTCCAGAAAGGAAGGCTAAATACAGTTACATAAGACATAAGACAGACACAAGGCACATAAAGCTATAAATGCATGAAGTAACTGTATTATTCTTTGTTCTTTGTATTTGCAGGGCACTACCCAAAGCTGGTGCTACATTTTGCCCTGCGCAGAAATGTGCTTTTCTTCATCTTGGAGACTTATGTCCCCTCCATCCTCCTGGTGGTGCTCTCCTGGGTGTCTTTTTGGATCAGCCAGTCCTCTGTTCCCGCTCGGACATGCATCGGTCCGTACTTCCTCTTTAACACTTGCTCTTCTATGTGATGTTTTACCGTCAGTGTGCTCCAGATATTAACATATAAAGCCTATACCAAGATTTATGGCTTTGATCTTTTCACTGGGTTTGGAAAGGGCAACTTAAATAGGGCAATATTAAAGTTGTTTAATTAGCTAAAAATGTGGACTTTCTACTTTCTACGACTTTAGCGTATGCATTCATGATAGTTACACATATTGTAACATTTAAAATACAGCCAACACCCATAACTTAATGAGCTACAAGTATGACAAATCAGTCACTGTACAATCCTTATGAAGATGTATGGTTTCCATAAGTTTCTCAATAAGGAATGGCTATAGATCCGTTCACTTCTCAGTGTGTAGTTTTGAGCTGTGTACTTTCTATTTTGGTGGGTGCATAATGGCAGAGTGATTACTGTTTCAACCACTCAATTATCACAGTTTCCCACCGAATCTATAATCTAATCAGGACTTTTCTAATTATGGCTTCCTATATACTTCATTTGGATGTCTCTAGTTTCTTTTTTTTCTTTCAGCTCCAGCAACTTACCAAAAGTTACTACTATGGCTAGGCGATATGGTGCTAAAAATAAAATATTAATCAGTTATTTTGGCCATAGTGTCATATTGTGATTCACTATTTCACTATTTATTGCAGCTCTGTGCTCAAACACTGACACTGTTCCACACCCATTTTTCCAATTGGCTACCCTCATCCTCACATCACGTCCTTCAGTCTCCTTGGCCTCACCTCTACCACCTCCAGTGTCCAGACCCTGGGGGAAGAAATTTGCTAAACATCTAACCAACCATGCCTATCATCAGAATGTCCTCTGCTGGGGTCTGAGCACCAAAGAATAAAACTACTAATACTTTCTCTTTGTGTCTGTCTGAGTCGCTCCAAGTTGAATTGTGAGAAAGAAAATTGTGGTATTATTTTTTTCCTCATCTCTGCTCTAGCTTTGGCTTCTCTATTGGACCACACGTATAGAGAAACACAAAGCTATTCCTCTGTAGTGTTTCCCATGATGTCGCTAATATAATGTTATCTCTGCTCCAGGAGTGACCACTGTCTTAACCATGACCACTCTGATGATGGGAGCGCGCACCTCCCTGCCCAACGCCAACTGTTTTATTAAAGCCATTGACGTTTACCTGGGCATCTGCTTCACCTTCATCTTCGGAGCTCTGCTGGAGTACGCCTGCGCCCACTTCTACACCATGCAGCACCAGACAATAGAGGAGATACACAGGGTAAGTTTTGGATCAGTAAAGTTTGTCTAAGTGTAAATCATACTGGTAGCTTTAAAACAATAAGTAGATAAATAAATTAATTAATTAATAGGAAGAAAGTAACATGTAAAATATGTTTTCCTCAACTGGACCAGTATTGTCGTCCTTAAAAACAAGTTACCTTAAGATAATGCCAAATGTTTCTGAGAAAGACTAGATATTTTTCTCTCTACTGTATATTTTCCAGTATTTATATTTATTTTTTTTAGTGTTTACATTTTTTGGTTATTAAATCTACCATCTGTAATCAGATTGGGAGACGTGCCCCTGTTGTATTCTCACATATCACCACTAGATGCTCTCTGCTTTACTGCTGTCTGATAGTTGCCTGAGCCAGTCCCTTCTACATTCTGTTTGAATCCAGAAGGGACAGGAATTGGACCATAGATTTGTATCACGTGTCTCAAATGTGGAAGATATCTCCTCTTCAAAATTCAGAACAAAATATATCACTTCCTTTACATGAAATAAGTAACAGTTTGGTACTTTGAGTGTTGATTCTGTAAAAATCTGCGCTGTTTCTCAGTCCTTTATTTAGATTTTTTCTTTTTTGGGGTAAACAGCCATGTTTGTTTTTGACACAAACAGAGCTGTCTGATTGGTTAATCCGTCTGTCAATCACACCTTAAATCACTGAGACATGATGCAGCTCCAGATCCACTCGTCTTTGTAAAGTTTTGTCAAAGCGTGCGGTTCTGGCTGGTCAGGTAAATCTGATAGTGTGCCAGCTTTGGCCTGACTGAAGAAAACCAGAGAGAGAGGTGAGGGGGAGGGGCAACAGGTTTCACTTCTGCCATCTAAAAATTCCAATGAACTTGTAGGTGGTAGCTTTAAGTTCAAGTTTACCTTCTGTGTGCAATGGGTCAATTTAATCATTGCCTTTGTTCCTTTTTCCTGTTAAGGTATTTTCCTCAATTTTAGCAACACAATAAAAAAAAAAAAAAAAAACATGTAATTTGCCAAAGAATTTAACTTGAGTTGATAATTGGGTTCAAAGAATGCCTAAAAAGGAACGATTTAAAAGAATACATTACAAAATAACAGCAAAGTAGGCTTTTTAATTAAGAAGATTATCCTGCAACCCCCAAAACATTTCTATAACAACTAGAGAAAATGAGCTTGTCTGTAGATAATTACAACCTAATCTTGTATCTTTCCCCTTTAGGATCTTTTGAGGGAGTTACACGAGTCCAAAGGAAATGGTGCAATCCCAATAGTCAGCTCCACTCAGCCGAAACAGCAGCCTGAAGTCAGGTCCACTACACAAGAGGAACCCACCACGGAGCAGTCACCCACCCAGGAAGTGGTTATGAACGGGGAGGCCAAGGAGAGCTCCAAGGGCCAGGGCTGCGGTCTGTCCACGGTGAAAGACGCATCTCGACGCGCTGCTGCAGTTTTTGTAGTTGAAAATCCGCACAATATTGACCGTCACGCACGCACTGTTTTCCCAACCGCCTTCTTCTTTGTGAATATTCTCTACTGGCTCTACTATCTCTGCCTCTAAGTACAATGAGAAAAACATGCTGCCTCAGTTGTTTTACCATCTGCAAGCTGCTCTACCTCCGCATAATGGATCTTCAATGGGAGACTGTAAAAATGTTTATGGTTTAGCGCTTTTTTGTACCATACAAACTGCTGTGCATTTGGCTAAAGCTTTCATTAGGTATGGATGGGTTAATGGCTATACAGACAAATGAGCATGTATATCTATACTATTGAAATCAGTAATTTCAATCATATTAAACGCTGCCTGAATTACAATTCTCTGTAGGCTACTCTGCTGCAAATATTGCCTTCATAACTAAGTGGCTTTTATTTCATTTCATATTGTAAATTTTTCAGAGTTTATCATAATCATATTAAACATTTGACTACCAAAAACTGAAGGCAATGTGTGTCTGTGATGTACTCAAGGACTAGATGACATTTGTACTTTTTCTGGCTGACAGTGCTGAGTGTGGAGCTATAAACTTAATTGCACCTGCTGTTGTTGTTCATTAAAAATCACTTTGCCCTCAAACCACTTAAAGGGCCTATATTACACGAAATTGACTCTTGTGAGCTGTTAGAATGCTGCTACCTTCTCAAAAACATACCTGGAATAAATCTTTATCATTAGTCAGTCTATATATCCAAAGCTCAAAATGCTCTGTTCCACCTTGTGATGTCATGTCGTGGTAGTTTTCAATTTAACTGCTCCTTTTACCTTTAGTTCAATAGAAATGGGCAAATCCAGAGCTGAAATGAGTTATTCTAGTGAAGGTTTATGGAGTTTAAAAACACAGTGGAGCACTTCTGTATTACCACATGACATCACAAGGTGGAACAGACTGTTTTCCGTTAAAAAAAAAGAACAGGATTTGTGTGTTAAACATGTCTGAATGAAACAAAACACAACTCCAGGTATGTTTGTGATGAGGAAGCAACATCATAACAGAAAATCAGAAAATAGCATTACAAGGGCCCTTTAAGTGACGTGTGTCTACAAAACTTGCAAAAGAGCACCTGAGCGTAGCGTTCACTACAAATGTGTATGTTTATTTGATTTGTGGCGATTATTTGAAATCTGCTGTCAAAAGCGCTTGCCTCAGTATTCTCCCCCACTTCAGCTCACCCCTTCTCCATATTCATTTACTGCATTCATAAATCTCATTGTGGTTTATCGGGCTGTTCTAAAATGCAGCTTCTATCAGTTCTCTGTTATGTATCTTGATGCATTGTGGTCTGGCAAAACTGTGGGAATGTTCATGTACAAACTAGCATTTGAAAAGGCACTGCTTTTGTACAGGCTTCAGACCTCCAAAAACAGAATTTACACTCCATTGTGGTCCTTATGGTAAAAGTTGTTACTAAAATTCAATCAACATTTAACTTAGACTTAACCTAAAGATCCTACATTACACAAAATGGATTGTAGTGAGCTTTTAGACATGTTATAATGTCATTACCGCATCAAAAACATACGTGGAGTTGTGCTTTGTTTCATTCACACGTTTGATATAATCCTGGTTTATTAGTCAGTCTACATCTCTAAAACTCAGAATGCTCTGTTCCACCTGATCATGCAGTGGAAGTTTTCAAGCTCCTGTTACCTTTAGTTCAAACAAAACACAACTCCAGGTATGTTTGTGATGAGGAAACATCATAATAACATAGATCAGAAAAATAGCGTAACTTTAAACTATTTGATCTGTTGTATTTTTTGGAAAACACATTTTATTTACATTTGTACCAGCTTAAAACTGTTATAAAGATACAGTAATTTTAATGAAATGTGGACACCAAAATCTATTAAAAACTCAATATTGCAAGTATCAGTAGTTGTCACACAAGAATAGAGATTATTACTACTTTTATAGGTTTATAAATTTAAAATAACCACACAGATCTGCATTTCAACAATACAATTTATTATTAAAACCTTTGGAAATAAGACATACAGTTACATTATTGCTCTTTGATGCGAGCAGAGGACAGTAAAGTGCAAAAATCTCCCACACTGAGCACAGATTTACAATTATGTTAATATTGAAACGAGAACTTAATGGTTTTGAATGAGAAGCATATTGTTAGTCACTATAAAGCAGGAACGTACAGTATATGATCTTTAAACACAGACACTGCTGCAGTTTTTTGCTGAAACCACATTATTTCTAGTTATGGTTTAGCTCCCATAAATGTCTCCCAGCCTCCAGCTTCAGTAGGAGAAACTGATAAGTGCAGTCAATTTAAATGCAGTAATTGAGTGGCATGCAGCTGAACAGCCCTGACATATACTGTACGTTTTAAGATGTTCTGGTATGAAAGTCAATACAAAAATACATTTAAACAGTAGTCATCTTTCACTATGTACAGACATATCCACACATTAAAGGCACTTCCGGGTTTAAATCCACTCTTTTTCCATCACATTCCTCTGTTGTCCACATGCCAATTAAATATTAAATGTTCTTCACCCTTAAAAACGCTATTCACACTTACGTAACTACTTTCAAAACACAATTCATCATCTTATTTCCAACTTGAACCAATGCCAACACTTGAATACAGCGAGAATTACCTCATTCATGTAACAAGTAAATATTAAGAGGGATGTACCTCCACCTAGGGGTCAAAGTCTTTCATTACAATTAATACACAATAGTTCACAAGGAATGTTCGGCGTATGATCCCACCCCATGCGTCTGTTTTGTAGTTCTTGCAACTGTTTCTTAAGTTCCTTTCTTTGATTCCCATTCCTGAAAAAGTATAAATAAAATAGATTACTCAACCACACTTAATTACAACTATACAATACAATCACATTTTACCACTACCAATAACATCAGCTATTTCCCATATTAAAACTACCAAAGTATTATTTATAAGCTAAAACAGTTCTTTATCTATCACAATTCTCTGCATTAAAACTTCTTGTAATTCAAATGTATTCAGTCCAGTCTCTTTACAGTCTTTCAAAATAATGTTTTAAAAGCCTTGATACAGCCTTTACATTTTATCTAGGCTTTGGACTGGCACAGAAGATAATCACTGAAGACTGAGAACTATCTGCTTCACCATCTTTCTAAATGTTAAAACGTTTATGGCAGCAGCTGTGGAAATCTATTTTGATGATTACCTTTGCTTTCTGCATGACTGTCCCGGTTGAAGAGGCGTAAACAGACGGCGGTCTCCTTCTCAGCTCAGCCGCACAGTTCACAGGTAAACCCTCTATGTAGATGTTCTGATGCTTCTTGTTGGTAGATGCCTGGAAATACAAAATAAAGTCAGAAAAATGTAATAAATAAGTATATGTATGAGTCAGTGTTCATTGTGACAAGAAAAATTTGTTCTAATCCAAATTTTGTAAGATAAATATATTTTTGTTTTGAATTACAAAAAAGGTTAATGCTAATATGGTCAACTAAAACAAAAAAAAAAATATATAGATAATATATTTAAACTGTAATAGACACTGAATATGGTCTGCAGTTAAAAATGTGGAAAAGTGGAATGGGGATTTTTTTTTTTTTTTTATTGATTAAAATATAAAAATATAATAATAATTACAATATTAGTCCTTTTTAGTCAATGGATTTTTTTTTTTTACTTTACCCAAAATTGTAATTTAATTTTAGTCTTACTTTTCGTGCATATGATTACTTTTTGTTAAGTTTTTATTTAGACAGAGAGATAGATACATTATTGATCCAGAAGGAAGGTCAAAATTTGTAAAAAAAAAAAAGATAATAAAATAAAATGATAGACTAAACACTGGTAAAGTCCCTAAAATCTACCTTGACTGGTGGTTTGGTCTGCACTGGGGACATCATGCCTCCTCCTGCCAGACTCTTCTGCAGGTTTTCTTTCACTTGGGTCAGTTTGAGCTCCAGATCCACCCGCTCGGCTTCTTTGGCTCGACATTTCTCATCCAACTCAGCCACTCGCTTATTTAGGAAGGGCTTTCTCCTCTCTGCACAATAAACAAATCCAGATTGCACACATTTAATCCCATTTTGTTTGTGAGCTTTGTCATGTTAGAAAGTTGTTACGTCTTCTAAAACACACCCAGATTTGTGTTTTGTTGAATTCACATATTTGAATAATGCTTTATTATTAATAGTCTGTCTACATCTCTAAAGGTCAAAATGATCTGTTCCACCTTGTGATGTCATGTGGTAGTTTTCAAGTTAACAGCTACCGTTTAGTTCAGAAGAGATTGACAATTCCAAGGCTGTGTGGTGAAAGTGGAGTTTAAAATCACAGTGGAGCACCTCATTTATTACTATATGACATCACAAGGAGTGCTTTCCATTTGAGAGAAGAACTGTGATGAGGAAACAATATTATAACATAGATAATAAAATAGTATGGGTCCTTTAAAACATGAAAAGAACCCACGGAGTAATAAATTCCCTCTACCTCTCTGTGGGAGAACTGTGGAGGTGGTGTCAGATTAATAGAATATCAAAGCATTCTAGTTAATTTAAAAACACATTTATTCAGGCTGTAAAAACATGAGCTCTCTGATGCAACGAGGGGCAATATTTATGTCCATGTAATGTAATAAGTAGAAATAAAGATCAGACGATTTGTACTGGATTGTAGCCCAGCAGTAAGGGAATATATTTACACAAGGGACTACAGGTGAAAAGGGTAGACTTTAAGAATCACATCAATAACACACCAACGTAACAAAATAAGTATTGTAATTTTGTGCAGTATGTTTTAAAAATGGAAACTAAACATGAAGTGTTGTTTAAAAACATTTTAAACATTGCAGTCAAGTTCATTCTTGAGTTCATTATTTGTATATCAGATTTTTGGTAATAAATATAGTTTTTGTTGTTTATGTTTACAAGAGAACCTCCTAAAAACTCATACTAGAATTTATTAGAAATGCATAACATGTATAACCTTATCTTGTATCTAAAAGTAAGGTTTATTATTAAAGCTACCATTCGTAAGTTTATTAGATTTTTTTTTGTTTGTTTCACCAGTAGATGGCAGATATGAGAATTGTTCCCCTCCCCTCACCTGGCCTTTGTTCTGTCTCACCTGTGCTCTCTGTTGTCTTCTGTCAGGCCAAAGCTGGCACAATATCAAACTGCAGTAACATAGATAACATCTAGTGGTGATATGTGAGAATGCAACTGATGGTAGCTTTAAACTTCACAGTATAGGGCTGACAATAAAAGTATTCTTTTCTATTGCACATTTTAAAATACATTATCAACCAAATATTGGCTTGAATATGTGAACTGAAATTTGCAAGTGTATTATTGGTGAAAATCAGAGGTTGTTTATTATTTTTTAGACATTTTGATTTAATAACGTTCACTGTCTTTATTATTAAAATAGACCATATCACTTTTTTTTTTTTTTTTTTTGTGTAAACTGATATTTACCATGAGCCATCTTCAGTTCTTCTTTGAGCTCTTTCTTCTCTTGTCTCAGAACCACCAGCGCCTTTCTTATCCCGTCTTTCTCTCTCTCCAGCTCCTCTTTCTCCTTCAGGTATCGTTTGGCATCCTCCTCCGCTCTCGTTTTCCCATAGCGGCCATATTGGTTGGAATCTAAGTGAAGAAGACATCAGGGAGCAGGAAGCTTTAGTAAAAGGTCACTGGGGTTATGGGAAGAAAGAACTTAGACACACCTAGATCAATGTCCGTATCAATTGAATTTCACACTTTTTTTTAGCTGAATTTGACCTATTTTCTATTTCAAACAAGAAACCTGGAAATTATAGAGTAATAAAAACCAAGCACTCCCGCAGAGAGAGGTCGTGTCACAGCTAATGCTTCCAACCAATAAATCTTAGGTTACAACTCAATTCTAACTCCTTGTTCTTTGATGTGGCAAAAAGGACCAAAAACGCAGTGACCACACAGATATTCTTTACAGAGAGCTACTGGGCCTATTGCTTTATCTAGATGGAAGAAAGCAACTGTCACAATGGAAAAATGGGAGATATATTTTAGATTGAAACTGAAGAAGATGATCGAGAGGATAGCAGGGCAAACCACATTAAAGCTAAGGTTTTATAGCAGGGATTTCTCTGTGCTGACAGGATGTACCAGCCAGAGTTGGACGAGCGCCAGCGTGATTTTTCATCTATATGGGAGACGAGTAAAGCTGTAGTTATAAGGGTAGGACTTACTCGAGCCTGTTCGCTTGAGTGAGATGGGGGGTTTGGTCCGATCTGAGTCGCTGCTGGAGAAACTGGAGCGCCGTTTGCCATGGTCCCCACACTGCTCAGACTGGAGGGAGAGGAAGGGACATTGTAAATAGATTTGAAAAACTAGTTAGATTAATATAAATTAGTAATAGTGAAAAAATATGTAGGCCAATATATTGGATTTTACACTGAATTACATAAGGAATTTATTTTTTAAAACAGAAGTGCCATTAAAATAAAAAAACAAAAAAACAAAAAAAAAACATGTCAAAGGTTTCAATTTAATCTTAAAACCACCGCCTTCTTTTAACAAACTGACTCACTTCTACTGTTATTAATAATATGTGTAGATACAGGCATCAAAAAGAAAAAAAAAAACTAAACTGAGATATCGGTTTTTGCAAATTAACTCAAAATATTTTTTAAATTCCAATGTTCTTTAAATAATTTGTTCATTTGTAGAATTTGGATTATCTAACTGTACCTTGCTTACCTAGTTTAACTTTTCTTAAATCATGGTTTAAGTTGACCTGTCCATCCACCTCAAGAGATACATAAACTATCTCTAATTGCAACTAAACGGACTTCTACAAATAATCAGAGCTCTGAAGGCTCTTAATTTCATACAAATTGCTCCGTCTTAGAGATGGCTAAACGATAAAAAGATCCAACCACATTTTACAAAGAAAGTCAGTGATTGTGGTTTGCCAGTCTTGATTTAGTCATCATGTTTTCAAGCTACATTGTGTAAAATTTCTGATGGAGCGTCCATCACCTGCTTGTTTCTATGGATATGTCATTGCTCTGCCTGGAATGTTCCACAATATGACATTAAACAGCTCTGCCTTACATTTATTCAGTTAAAACAGCTCAAAAAACAGGCATTCTGACTGTGATTGTGGTTGTCTCTCCACAGATCTGCCTTGTATCTTGGTTTGGTTTCCATGAAGGTAGAAATACATATAATACAATACTGTGAAACATTCCAGACAAAGCACGGAGAAAAGCATTTGACAGATACGCCAGCAGAAAAGTTAAACAATGCACCTTTAAAGTCATATTCCTCCAATGTCCTTGCAGCACGCGAGTCGGAGGATGTGCAGAGGGCAGGAAAGTCCATAAAACAAAGCCCCGTCCTTCAGCATTTACTGTGTGTGGAAGTGTGAGTGAGGCTGCAGGCGCTGGGGGCTGTTTCTAAAGCATGTCTTTAGGGTTAAAACAGCAATTTACAGGCCGTAAAAATGCCATGACCCCCTGCCTCCTCTCACCCTTTACACTTCCCTTTATTTTCCCTACTTTTTTTTCATCCTCGTTTTTTCACCTTGTGCCCTGTCCGTCTCTGGACAGGCGTGTAACATGGCTCTGCTGGTGGTTCTGCTTTAAAATGATTAGAGGTATCGAATTCAGTGATGGGAACTAACAGCTGAAGATGCAGGCACATATAGAGTACATTATAACATTACGGAAGCAGAGGTGAAAAAATCTGTAGTGTAAATGTTACGACATACTTTGCATAATAAGACCAGATATTTTGTTGTTTGCAAAGGAAATTATGTTTCTCAAAGGGCACATATTATTCTATTTTCTCATCTATGTTATAATGATGTTTCCTCATAAAATAAAACAAAACACAAGTACAAACACACAAAACCTGCATATTTACGATGGCTTCATACCTCAAACACAAAACATTCTTTCCCACTTTGTGATATCATGTGGTTTTTAAACTCCATACACCTTCACTAGAATCATTTAGATAATTTCAGCCCTGGCATTTCCAATCTCTGCTAAACAAACTTAAAAGGTGGCTGTTAACTTGAAAACTACTACTTCATGATGGAACAGAGCATTTTGAACATTGGAGACATGAACAGACCAAACCAGGATTACTCAAACACGTATGCACTCCAGGTATGTTTTTGAGGAGGTAACAGCATTATAACATGATTTAAAACTCACAAGAATCAACTGTGTATAATATAGGACCTTTACATTAGTGATGATAAATTATCTCTGGCATTTTTTGATTCAATTGTGATATATCTAGCAGTCCAACTTCTTACTTCTATTTACATGAGTGCAAAGCATAAAATATTGCTTTTTAAAATGCTTTTTTAATACTCTACTTTTGCTTATTTGCTTTTTGGAGCTTTCAGTTGTTATAAAAGATGTATTTCTTTAACAGTGATAAGATTTGAATATGCTTTGCGGTTGTTACAAGATTGTTTTGATTTTGTATTACTCTTTTACTCTAGATGAGTAAATTAAAAAGTTTCTGTTCCTCTCCTTATCTCCCATGATAGCATACAGTATCTTACACCCACCTGCATGTCTTCATTTGGGACGTCATCATAGTCTGGGGAACTTGAAGTAGTGGCCCACCTACAATCACAAAGAAAACAAATGTAGCGTAATATTTAGATAAGTCATTTTTGTCCTCAGTTTGACCCTGTACAGAATAAAACACTAAATAACCAGGCAGGTTCCACTCACAGGAAGGAGTGTCTCACAGCGTCGCGGATGTTGGCGATGGTGTCCACGTCAACATAGTCGTAATGGAGGGACTCAGGATCTGTCAGAGACCCCGACTCCGCTAACAGGACGCCCAGCCACCGGCCCATTTCCTCTGAGCTGCTCGCCTACACAGACAAGGGCACGAGAAGGGCAGGGGATAAATGATTTGATGACATTTTGGATCTAGAGAACGTAAGTGGAAGTTACAGTTAGAGGTTAGCTGAAAATTTAAGGCAAAAGATCGTATATTTTTACTTTTGAATTCATTTTTTAAAGTACCAGTATTGGGAAAAAACTATATAGCAACAAGAACTAAAAGCAACAAAACTACCACAAGCTTATCTCCATGGAAATGTTCTTGCTTTGCTTGGTATGTTCCACAGTATGGCATTAAGCATATCTATTTCCATGGCAGCAGGCATGTAACTCCACCAGGCCAAGTTACTGGTCTGATCTGTGGAGATGGTATCTTGCTTGAATGAATGAATGCATGTTTTTTATGAGCAATAAAAACACCTGTAACTGTATTAACTGTAAGTTTAATGTTGTACTATGGAACATTCAAGGCAAGGCAATATCATCCCCATGGAAACGCGCAAATGGCAAACCCTTTAACGCCTGATGTTGTATTGGAAAAGCAGGTATCCATGTGTTTCAGAGTGATGAAAGATTAGCACTGTTGCCATAGTAATATTGTGTGAAAATAATATGTTGCAAAGTGAAAAGTATTCACGCCTTTTCATTTCAGCTTCCTGTTACATGCAACGTTTTGAAGACTTTTTCCATTCAAAAGATGTTGTTTTAAATTGTTAATCACTGTGGCAACAGTCATAATTTTTCATAATTCTGAAACCCATGAATAGTCCACATGTAACAAATTGTGGTTATGACTTTTTTTCTATTCAATGTAAATGTTATGTTAATTATGCAACCCAAATGGGGAATACCTAAATATATTATAGACTAAAACATGGGTGTGTAACAAGTTTTTCTTCTTTCTTAAATGAAATGCTTTAGTAGGTAGTTGGTAGTTTTGCCATTGGCCATTTGGAGTCAGCTGTAGCTCTGTGAATGAAACCTCACCTCGAGAGCAGCCACCTCATTACTGTTCCTCATGATTCGAAAGGCAAAGGGGTGCTTGGGTCCCAGCCCGGGCACCACCTCACAGTCATACAGTGGGACAGAGGGCAGAGAGGTGCGAGCGTCACCCCTGTCGCTATAGAAACGCAGGTATCCTTTGGACACACAGCACCACTGCTCCCTCCACACCTGGTTCACTAGTACCAACATGAAGCCTGCAGGAAGGAAAGAAACACACAAATACAGTACTGAGAAAAGGTTTTAGGAAAGTATGTAAGTAAAATATGTGTAAGTAAGTGAAATGTGTGGGTTATTGACAATTTTGGAAAAGGATACATTTGGGAGTTGTTTTCCTATATTTGTATTGTATAATATTTAAGCTACAAATGAAAATGCTTTCTTACACAGACAGAATGGGTCCAAACCAAGTCTACATCAGGATTAAACTAGTTTCAAACCAGAACTTAACAAGTACAAGTGTGAATGCACCCATAGGTTCAATTGTGTGGGTCTGGATTATAGGCAGATGTTAGGGAGACACATTTGAACAGTTCTTTCTCTTTTATTTTTGCAATTTGTGTACTCTGAGGCATGTCCTTTACTCACAGCTACATAAGTAACGCTATTGAACCACTTTTTAGTTGATGGCAGACCTTGTCGAGGGTCACTGAACGCAGCTCCTGGTCTGGGAGGCTTTTTCTTGGAGAAGCTGATGATTCGTGTGATTTTACGACCGGCAGCAAATGCCCCACGCTTCACTTTACCTACATCAACAACACAAACACTGTTGTTGTAACGTAAAAGTTTTATTTGCTTGCACAGTAATTCATGTGGAGTCATGTTTAACTTGTTTTACCGTTTTCTTTGCAGGTTTCCCCGGTGGACACACCCACGCTATCTGAATCTGAAGTGTTCCTCTCAGCTGACAACCTCTGGAAAAAAAAATAAAAAAATGAAATGAACTTCTTAAATTCAGCGTGTAATTTATTTTAAAGTCTGCCAATAGACACAACCTGCATCACCTGGTCTAGAACTGGCTCAAACTCTGCCCTATAATTTTTACTTCCCTCCTTTGTTCCACAGTGACACTTGAGCAAAGCAATTGTTAAGGAAAATTGATGTTGACAACACAATTACAGCTTGTCTTGACTTTTCCACACCTCAGTCATAAAGATAAATTGCAGCCAGTGGGTAAAAATGACACACAAAAACAAAACCTTGTACCTTGTCAAGTTCGTTTTTTCTCGAGATGACCGGAGATGTGTCGTCGGGGGCAGTGGACTGGCCGCTCACCTCTCGGACCACCTGAAGAAAATATGTTGTCAGCTTAATTTCAGTAACAAAGAAACACCATATTTTGGACAGAAGAGAAAACATTCAATGTAGCCAACTATGCAACTATGCATGGTGGCTCACACAGTGACCATATCACATATGGGAGAAGTCTACATTTTATCAGATCCTCATGCAAAATGTCCCTGTGCATCATGTTTTTCAATACTACCTGAATACACTAACATATTCTTACTTCGCTTCGCTTCACTTGTTCCCCACCAATCCTGATTCTGTCCTTGAGCCTACAACTCTCCCTCAGTCCAAACAAATACTAAATAATGTATACTCACTCTGAGCCACCGGTGAGCCTGTTCCTTGCTTTGCACAGCCAATACAAGAGCATCTCCATTGGGCAGAGTGAAGCGCAGCTCGTGGTGCTTCCTCTTGCCGTCTTTAGGGGCATAGACCACAGTGCACTGGGGCAGGAGCAGGTCCACGTAGGGGGTCGTGTCCTTGGAGCTCTTGTAGCACTAAAAACATATAATACATGTTGTATTTGTCACTGTAATTTTACACATGCTCTACAGCACAACAATTTTTGAAGGATATCAAAATGATTTGTTTAAAGGTCCGGTATTACACAGAATGGATTCAGCTACAGCTACCTACTCGTTTAGTAGAGACTGGCAAATTCCAGGGCTGAAACGCATTCTAGTGAAGGGGTATGGAGTTTAAAAACACTGTCTGCATTTTCCATTTGAGAGAAGTATTCCTAAATATGAGGGGTTTGTGTTATACAGTTGTGCATATGAAACAAAACAGAATTCCAGGTATGTTTGTGATGAGGAAACCACATTATAACATAGATCAAAAGTAGGACCTTTAACATCATTTTCCCTCTCTTTAAATCATGATCCAGAGACCACATTTTAAATATGTCTCAGGGGATTATTGAAAGATGATTGAAAGAAAAAATAACTGTATTAGGGTTAGGGTTCAGAATGTTTTTGAAGTGATCTTAATGTCAATGTTGTCAGATATTTTACCACATATAAAGACCCAAGAAAGACAAGCTATTTTTTTGTTTGAAAAGGCCAAAGGTCATTATATAACCTAAAATAATAATACTTCTGCATCCAGGAGAAATAGAAATAAGTGAATAGAGACTTACCTGCAGTCTGTTTTCTCGTATTACAGTGAGCTGTTTGGCCCATTGACCGAAGCGTTTCTTGCGCAGTAGAAAAGCACAGATGCGACAGTCCCGGGCAGGAGGCATGGAGCTCATCTCCTCTGAGGGCCACTGGTGGGTCAGTCTGACACCAGGACTGCGCTCTTCCTCATCCTCCTCATAAGACTCATAAGAACTGCTCAGAGCATCAGAGTCGTTGTCTGGAGAAGCAGCACACATTCACTGGTTCATTAGTTTCATACGACACATCAAAGAACCACTCACTCATTCGCACACACGCACACACACATTCATACACCATTGTAGACAGACACTGGGGGTGAGATGGGTATTAGTTTTGCTATTTGATGTACACAACAAACCAAAGGTGATACAGAGGGCAAGAAGCAGAACAACAGTATGTAAGTACTCAATAATTGTTCCAGAGACAAATATGCACAGGATATGCTATTCAGATTGCTATCCGGTGTCTACACAAGCAATATTAGATGCTTTAAAAGACATCTTAGTTCTTTTAGACGAATGTTTAAATGGCCCTTTATATGATACTTAATGATCTACGTTGTATTGTTGTTTCCTCATCACAAACACCTGAAGTTGTGTTTTGTTTCATTTGCAAAGCTTTAACACAGAAAGAGTTTTTCTCTCAGACAGAAAACACTCCACTTTTTGATGTCATGTGGTCCTCCACTGTGTTTTTAAACTCTATACACCTTCACTAAAGCTGTTCACTTGTTCACTGCCACTACATGACATCACAAGGTGGAACAGAGAATTCCAAACTTTGCAAATGTAGACAGACAGACACAATAATGTGAATGTTCTTGAGGAGGTAACAACATTATAACATGGCTTTTTGTGTAATACAGGACCTTTAATTGCTTTTTCATGGAATGTGCTCTATTGCTGCACTGTTCTGACCTTTTTGTACTTTTTAAAATCTTATATGTAATTATTTTTTTCTTATGCTGTAATTGTTTTGTTGTGCACTCACAGGAAGTCTAGCTGTCTGCCACGGCGGCAACGAATGGGGCTCAATTTTAAACAAATAAACACATAAATCAGACAGACCCTGGGGGAGGGAGTAACACTTAGAACTATGGGAAACACTCCAGACCCACTTTCCTGTGTCTTGCTTAACAACACATTTACATAGATAATTGTAATGTTACTTACAAGAATTCTTCCGGTGCGAGTTGATACATGTTGTGGGGTAGTGGTTTTCTGCTTCTTCATAACCATCTTCTATTGGAGGACCAGGCCTGACTGGAGTTGGAGAACATGAGAATTCAAATTAGAATTTTAACCTTATGTGTGGTGTTTGATGTAACTAAATCCTTGTAATTTGACTTGCTATATGTCTATGTTTATATAAATTACAGTAAACTAGGGTTAAGAGAGAGGTTTTTGGTAGAAAAATGCCATGCAAGCGAGTGGCTTTGGTAGACCAGAGGAAGAGCCGCTAACCTCTCGTGATGATGTATTCGGGCAGCGTGCCAGGGCTGAGGGGGACGGCCTCTTCGTAGTACTCTTCGGGGGGAGGGGTGGTGGGCAGAGGCGGAGGCGACTCAGCTGAATGGGAGGTGGGGGAGTCTGTACTGTCCTGTAAATGTTCAAAGACAAATATTCTCCAGTCGCTGTAATTATGATAGATGTTCAACAAAACTACAGCAAGCAGACTGTATGAATCAAAGGTTGTCACTAATATTCAAGCGTCTTTTGCAGTTCAACATAATTTACTACAATTTGAACAGTTTAAGTCTTGTTTAAAGGGCCCATATTATGCTACTTTCTGATATATGTTATGTTGTTCCTCATCAAAAACATACCTGGAGTTGTGTTTTGTTTCATTCACATGTTTAAACACACAAACTCTATATATTTAGACTGAGTTCTTCTCTCAAACTGTGCTGTACTGTGTTTTTAAACCCCATACACATTCACTAGAATCATTTGTATAATTTCAGTGATTCAGTGAATTTTCAATTTCTTCTGAACTCAAACTCAAACATGTGTGAATGAAACAAAACACAACTCCTGGTATGTTTTTGATGAGGTAACAACATTATAACATAACTTTAAGCTCACAAGGACCTTTGAGCACTTTTTCCTAGTTTATCCTTTATTCTACACAAGTATAGTTCTTGTTTTTCCCCTGAATTAGACCAGCTTACTTCAGATTACTGATCGCTTGTTATGAACAGGCAAGCAGACTGTGTGAATCAATGGCTGTCACTAATACTAACTACTTCTTTGGCAGTTCAACCTTATTTACTGCAATTTATGATGTTTTTAATCATTATTTTATTCCTATTAGTAATTACTAGTCCTTGTTTAACAGTTTTCCAAGAGTTATATTTATTCTATCCAGGTAAAGTTCCTGTTTTTTGTTTGAACCACTGATCAATTTTTTATGAAGTTATGTGGAGTGTTTACACTAGTCTTGTTCTGATCATGGTTTGACTCTAGTTTAGTCCTGATGACTTTTGGTTTTGGACCTGTTCTAGGCCTGGTTTAGCCTCGGTTTAGTCCAGTTTCAGTCCAGGGTTTAGTCTTAGGTTAATTCTCTATTTATATTTATACGCTCAAGATGTAGTTTTGCCTTGGACTGCATTTTGTGGTTTGGCTTTGTTTTGGTGCTTGTTTAGGTCTGGTTAAGTCCAAGTGCTGATATAGCTGAAATCTGGCTAAGTGCTAGTTCTTGTTTAGTCCTGGTTTGCTTTTGGCGTAGTCCTATATTACTCTTTCTCTTAGGCTCATTTTCACCAACAGTCGAGAAGTAAAAAAAAAAGAAGAAAACCAACTACTATTTTCTGACTTGGGTGTAAAAAGTTTAAGAATCACAAATATAAATCATTGATAAATTAGTGACCTATGCATGCACTCGGGAACAGCCTAGAAACTAATAATCAGAATATATTTGCAAAGTCAGTTAAAAGTTCATGGTGCCATATAAAATGTGATGACAGGAGAAAAATGGGGCGACTCTCGGTTCCAGATGCCTCCAGGCCGGACATGTATCTGCTTGGCTGTGGAGTTACAGTTTGTGTCACACATACCACGCACCTGTATTTGCAAACTGTATGCACTGAAATTTAGACATAACCAGTTTATATGAAGGAACTACTGACACATACCTGCTTTAGAGTGTCTGTTTGAGTGTCTTTGTCCAGTTTTAGCTCATCTGTGACGTCCTTTAGGTCTCCAATTTCACAATCTGCAATGAAAACGAGAGATTCACCCAGAGATATTGCAAAAAAACTACTGGATCTATGTTGCCTTAGAAAGAACTGTATTGAAATCTGCTAAATAATACTAATATACCATAAGCATACCAACAACATGTACAACTACAGACTTCATAAATCTTTAAGGTATCTGTTAAGAAGCAAAGAAATCACCATATTACATTAAAATGTTATTTACAACCAAATAGAAACCATTAAACATAAAATAAGATAGAACTGATCATGAAGCCACTACATATTTGACACAATTCAGTAAAATATGTACAGTTTCTCTGTATTTGTATCATTGTTCTTTTTTTCTGTCTAAACAACAGACAATTTGATCAAATTCAGTGCACAGTAATTACAAGTTAAAGAAAATTGTGGTTTGTGGGTTTTGTTCATCAGTTGGTTTGGCAGCCCAGTATAACCACATCTCGATTAGACTTAAAACTGCAACACAGAACTATAAAATGTAATTCAAGTCAAATAACATTTAAATTCCTCTTGTTTTTATTTCCAAGTTTGCCCATTTTTTATATATGCATTTTTCTTTACATTTATCAAGAACATTGAACATGCATGGATGACATGCATCTTAAATGGAGTGAATATGACTGACTGAGATTCAGGAGCAAGACCTCGCTGCAACCTCCCCTGCTCCTCTCCAGCCAACCACAACGCAGTCCAACCACGCCTTCAATTACCCAGAAGCCCTATTTATACAGGCCTATCCCGACAACACCGTCTGTGTCCGTTCTCTCAACCCCCTCCCTCCCACCCTGTGTCTCTTGTTCATCATCCATCCTCAATAAATATCTTTATTGTTTTCCCTTGTTGTGGCGTGGTCCTTGCTAGTGAATCTTATTTAAGCAGGATTCAAACTTACCAAAGGACTCAAATAATGACTCCACGAAGCTGGTCCCATTTCTGTACACAGAGGAGTTCATGTAGATGTAGTCTGTACCAGACACTACATAGAAAAAAAAAGTATTATGTTATCAGTATTTTTACTTTTATACTTAGGTTTGTAAAACTCTTATGATGAAATATCCAATGAAAGAAATATCCAATTTATGATCCACAAATGTTGAACCTTATTATTATTAGGAACTGGCTCCATAAACCTGCTTTATTATTGATCTTATGTCATATAGTCCTTTCATCTCACATCTTTAGAGTTTAGCAATGATGTCACGTTCTGAAGCTAATGTGGAAAAAAATAATAATTCTGTTGTGTTATAATTACCAGAGAAGACATTGAACTTTGTGTAAGTTTTTGGTTCATCTGATTTGACCCAGTAACAACAAATCTACATTCTGACAGTTAAAAAGCAAATCCCACCATAAAATAACATGTTCTCCAGCTCGGTTTTAAACAGTTTCTAGATGCCATTAACACAACCTGTTGAAAAAATAAAATGATAAAAAAAAGACCTAATAATATTTGTTTCTTGTACCTTGTGGCTGTATTTGCTGTAGGAGGTTCCACACAGACATCTTCTTCTCCTCTGTGGAAGAACTGAGGCTTTCTTGGTCAAGCATCTTCAGCAGGACCCCCAGCTCGCTTACCAGCACCTCCATGGCTGAGGGCGCAAAGGTCAGAGGTCAGAGGTAAGTGGGTTCAGTGTATCAGTCCAGGGTTCAAAGGTCGCACTCACACGTCCAAACAAACTCATGTCAGGGAGACATATCTGCCCTGCTTCCTCTGTGTCCCCTCATTTACTGTTATTGGCGTTCTTACAGAGAGCAGAGTTTATTATTGAGATGCACCAGGTCTGAGGTCTGGTTTTCAGACTAAACAAAATGTTGATTGAAAGGGGATATTGCTGTTTTGGAGACTTGAAAGGGAAAGTGTTTTAAAACCACTGCCTCCTGGGAACTGATTTTGAAACATTTTGGTTTCACAACACGAAGGACCAGACGATTTGACTGTGACAAAATACTGACAATTACAACTTTAATTTCAACATTAATTTCCATTTGTTCTGATTATTAAAGTAGAGATATTTGAGTGATTATTGTGTCAATCCAATAAAACAATACAAGATCGACTATGGGAACTTGCAAATATCGATCCACTACCAATGAGTCTACATTAAATACACTGAAAATCCTCTAAAATAAAGAACTTTACCTCAGTATTTAGAGGCTATCCTTATTTTGCACCACCCCTTGAACTGAAACATTAACTATGTGCAGCTAAAATAAATAACAAAGCAAATAACAAGCCTTAACCTTGTCAGTATTCATTTTTTGGTATCAGTTGATGTCTTGAGCCACTTCCACTATCTATAGGCCTTATTTATAGACCCTATTCTATGCAAAAATATATCTGCATTATGTTGTATAGTGTTTCATTTGTGTATGTTTTAAGTCCATTGTTATAACTTAAACTGTCTCCCTGTAACCGTCTATGCCACCATATCCTAATCTCTGAAGCTCCTTTTAACGCTCAATATCTTCACCTAAATCCTGATTTGTATTTAATTGTATATTTATTTTTATATTTTACAGTTACAGTTGCAAGAAGCTTTACCAGTTAATGGTAAGCAGAAATTTTATTAGCTTGTCACAATCATGCATTATTTATTCATTTATTTTTTATTGCTTCAAAATATAGGCCTAGCCCCTGCTTTTTAATAACATATTTAAAACAACTTTAATGAAAATCAGGCTTAAAGATGCATTGTGTAACTTTTCTGGTGGATGCTATTCTCCTTGGAAATGTTATTGCTATGTCTGGAATGTTTCACAGTATAGTATTAAATGGTTCTATCTTCATGGAGACAAAACCAGACCAAGTTACAGCTCAGATCTGCGGAGAGGCAACCCTGCTTACAGTGTTTTTAGTATTTTTGAGCTATGAAACAACCTGTAATTTAATAAATATAAGATACCTGTTTAATATCACACTGTGTAACATTCCATATCCATAGAAACAAGTAGGTGATGGACCCCCGACCAAAAAGTTACATAGTGCACCTTCAATAAAATGCGGACTAATTTATTTTACTGGACAGACTTGTAATATCAAAACTGAACACAATACCTTGAAGCTTTGGGAGTTTAACCCTTTTTCGCTTTGGGATATAGGGAAAGACTGTGCCCACTTGTGGAAAGATAATCCATCTATCTTAAAATGCAACACCCTTTGAAAACACGTCTCCAACCTGCTTGTGGCGTTTGTTTTGCTTCCTCCCTTATCTCCCTTAGACACAAACACCATCCATCAATGCTCAGCCTCCCTCTTCCTTCCCAATTGTTACCTCTATCTACAGTATCTACACTTAAGTTCTATTCTTTCCCATTATCCTAAAGCCAATCTGTAACCCGACCTTTTACCAAATCACTTTTAGTAGCATTTTCAGACATTAACGGGTGCACTGCGCAACTTTTTTGGCCTTCTGATTGTCTTCCATGGTAAAATAGGAAACGGTCCCATTTTATATATAGCGATTTTTTTACTTTCACTCAAAGCAATTTAATTCAAGGAAACACTCACCCATTCACACTCATCCACCAGTGTACAGTGAGGTGGGTGAAGTGTCTTGCCCAAGGACACAACAACAGCTTTCATCATCCATGTACGTTATTGTTTCACGTGTTCCCCAATATGGCATTAACATATCTATATTACATTTATTTCAATTACAAGTGTTTTTATGCACTGAAAAACATACATTCTTTCCACATATTCTTACTATAAGCTGGGCTGTCTCTCCACAGATCTGACCTCTAACTTAGCCTGATGCCACTGTGTGCTTATTAGCCTACCACGGGAAAATATCAGTTTAAAGCCGAACTGTGGAGCATTACAAGTGAAACAATAATATCCCCACCATGACAAGCAGGTAACGGACCCTCCACCAGAAAAGCTACACAGTACGCCTTTAAGAATATTTTGGGGGGGTCAATCACAGGACAGGCGCTGAGGCAGAAAAGTCTTTGTTAGTTGGAGCGCTCATATGGAAACAAGAGCTAGACAAACACGAGCCAAAACATTAAAGCCACAGGAACTCTGCAGTCTGTTTGCTCAGTGAGGTGTGCAGCATACCTGGCTCACTAAGGCACAATTATAGACCGTGAGGAGTGAATAAACTGCTACAAAGAATGTCTGAAATGTGTAGATCAAGTCTTGTGTACTCAGCAGAGGCAGCTTCATGTTTCTAAAGATGTATCTGGGGTTTGTCCATGTTGAGTGAATGTGAGAAAAACTGCTCCCCCAACATATTTCAACAAGGTGGCTCTTCTTCCTATGAGTCAAACTAGAGCTGCAGTGTGAATGAATGATACCTGTGATTATTCCTTGGCTCTTTTTAATCAAGTGGTCTACAGCCAATTCTTGGACAGTAAAAGCATGTGTAGATTTTTTAATGTCATGACAGTTAATAAAGTATATATTGTTTAAAAGTCCTATATTGCCTCTTGAGAGCTTTAAGCCATATTATAATTCTCTTACTTCTTCAAAAAACATACCTGGAGTTGTGTTTTGTTTCATTCGCTCATATGTGATTAATCCTGTGTTACTAGTCTGTCTACATCTCTAAAGCCCCAAATGCTCTGTTCCACCTTGTGATGTCAGCACCTTTTACCTTTCGTTCAGCAGAGATTAGCAATTCCAGGGCTGAAATCATCCAGACGATTCTAGTGAAATGTAGAGTTTATAAACACAATAGAACACTTCCTGTATAACCACATGACATCACAAGGTTTTTCTTGAGAGAAGTACTCAGCCTAAATATGCAGGCATGTTTTTGATGAAGAAACAACATTACATAGATCGACAACATAGATAGACAACATAGATCAGTAAATAGCGTAAAAATATATACATTTGATGTCACTCAGCCCTAACTCAAACGGAGGACTACAGTATACAGACAGAGACGGCTATTAAAATACCTATGAGGGTCAATGTCTTTTTCACAAGTGCAGTTTCCTTCCATTGTGTAGCATAAGTATGATAAAAACACTACAGTGAAAATGATGAATGGGTCCACGTAACCTAGAAATCCCATGTAGCTCATTAAAGGTGGGGTGTGTGGTTTTTGGCTGCAACAGGTGGTGACTTCGCTGATTGCATTTCCATACATAACAACGCTGTTTTATGTGGATGAACTTACACTTATGGAAGTAAAAAAGGGGTATTTACTGTACATGAGCCCTAAATCAGGTCAAATAATTCATTCATGAAAAAGTTTTAAGAACTGTCAGTAAACTGCATTCACAAGTGTGTTCTAAATTACATGCACACAAGGTTAATGCACATAAGTGAAGTTAATTAACCTTTGTAACTGCCAATTATAAAGTCCTTTTGTCCAATCAGGTACGGTAATTACAAATGTTTTGTCATCATCCCGAACCACACCTAATCCCACCATGTACTGCAGAATGATAAGCAGTGAAAGGGGGTACAGACTACAAAAAAAAAAAAAAAATAATAATAATAATGCATAGAATAGATCAACAAAAGCACAAAGATGTCAGTGGTGGTTAACAGCTAATCCATAACTTATTGATAAAGTAACTGAATGCACACTTCCATGGAGACAAACAGGTGATATTATCAGTCAAAGTTATGAATCAGATCTGAGGAAAGGTGACCTCGTTCACTGTAAAAATTCATGTTTTCAAAGAACATTTGCAGCAATAAAAAACCTTTATAATTGAATAAACACAATACATTTTAATGCCGTACTGTGGAACATCACCTTAAAGGTTGTCTGGAGGATTTTTTAAAAACATTTTTTTTTTTATTTATTTATTTATTTTCAAATTGTCAATGAAAGTTCAAAATAGGATTATAGAGAAGCAGCAGCCTTGTAATTATGATGACCAAAAAAAAAAAAAAAAGATTGAAAATCCATCAACTGTGGACGTGGTGGGGGCAGACAAACATCAGCCAATAGAAAACAAGGCTACTTCTTTATCTATTGGCTGTTAGGTTGTCAAACAAACTCCCTACATTTCTAGCTTTGCTGACTTGCCGACGCGCTGGGATTGCGTGGTTTATGTTCGCGGTTCACGTTTAGCGGTTCTTGGTGTCTTTTTTGAACTGTAGCTTCCTCTCAGTTTGCACAAAATTTGTTTTAGTAGACAAGACAAGAATTCACGACCAGTTCGCTGCAAAAGAAAGTCTGTTTTTGACGTCACTGAAAGAAGAAGAGAAGGGGAAAAGGAGCGAAGCGCAACACTTAAAAAAGGACAAACAGTCGCTGCATTTCTCTTTCCTTGAAACATCTTCTATACAACCTTTAACTAAGCAGAAGTTACATACTGCATCTTTAATGGTGCACTGCCTGCTTGTCTCTATGAAGATGTTATTGCTTTGCCTGGAATGTTCCATGGTATGACATTAAACATATCTGTCTAACATTTCTTCATTATGGGTGTTTCTATTGTTCAAAAATACAATAATTCCTTCTGTGAGAATGGGCGAATCTCAACAGAGCGGAACTGTAATGTCACATAATGCCCTAGCCTGCTTGGGTCCATCTGGTGTCCATCGTGATTAATCTATACTGTGGAACATTCTAGACAAAGCAATAACAATTCCATGGACACAAGCAGGTGGAAAAGTTACATAGCGTATCTTTAAGACACGCCCCGCAGCCTCCAATGTGATGAGGGACATTTATGTGAGTGGGCCGAGTGTTAGCTTGTTCACTCCTTCTATTTGAGCCAGAGTTTTCAGCTGTTTGAACACAGACTGGGCTTCCCCTAAAACTGTGGAAGACGAGCCTTATCCGCTGTGACTCACTCAACACCAAAAATATATTATAAAATTTAAACCACTCAGCAATAAATCCAACTGTGCTTTCAAGGAACAGACCCGATGTTGAAAGTACACTCACTTTATCCAATTAAGCATTTCTTCTCCTTGGGCCAAAACAAGTAAAAGAAGGAATTACATCTTGTACGTTTTGTAGGATCTGGCAACAGCGCAATATAAGACCACCTAAGTCCCTTAAGTCTTGCGTTACAAATCTCGTATGGTTTCTCACACTAAAAAGCAGCTCCTAAGCCTTTCAATCTTTTACCTTAAGATGTTGAGATATAGCACGTATTTGAGTTGGGAGTTGTTTGAAGTCATGCATTGCCAGATAAAACACATTGTCAGTCCAGCCACCTGAGGCAAACTATACACCGTTCCCTTAAAGCACTGTGTAAATATGTTGGATAAAGTTTTATTAAAAAGCAAAAGAGAATAGTTTTGGCTACTTTCCTGCACTTTAATGTAAATATGTTCAAGTTCAGATAAAGCTTGAGGCGATGTCTTCTCCATTTCTCTACATTAAAAGGTGCATTGTGTAGCTTTTCTGGTGGAGGGTCCGTCAAATGCTTTCTCCATGGAGATGTTATTGCTTTCTATCTTCATGGAGACCAGACCAGACCAAGTTACAGGTCAGATCTACAGAGAAGCGACCCCACTCACAGTCAGAATACCTGATTTCCTAGATATGTTTGACCTATAAAACCACCTGTAATAATAATAAATGGAAGGTAAAGCTGTTTAATGTCATACTGCGGTACATGAGGCAGAGAAATTTCATGAAAACAAGCAGGTGACAGGCTCGCCCTCCACCAGAAAAGTTACACAATGCACCTTTAAAAACTCTAGCTTTCTCGCACCTCACTGACAATAGCTGCTGGATACTAGACACATTCCTCACCTTGTAAATTGCTCTAGACTCAGCAGAGAGAGCATGTGCCCCTATTGTGAGCACCAAGTTTGTTTAACAGCTCAGACAAGCCTTTTAAAAACCAGGGGGACTTACAGCGGCCACAAAAAAGAAAAGTTTGCCAGGAACAGAGGGAGAAAACAAGGTGGAGAGACAGTGGAGGAAAGGGGGGCTGGTATAAAGTCAGGGAGTATAGCACCTGTACCAACATGCCCCACTAACGCTGATCTGAGGAATTACATGACCTCAACTCAAAGTGCACTGTAGTTTTCCCTAATTTTTCATCTGGAAAGGTGCAGTCGGGATAATTTATCATATAGCTTGACCCTGTAAGCAGATGCCATGATCTTGAGGTGGGAGACAATCTTGACAAAGAATAAAATGACATAAAATTAACACAAAAACATACTCTTCAAGTTTCAGACACTATTGGAAAATGAAATGAAATGTATGAAAAGTACAAGTGACCAACACAGGTTCAGTATTTTCAGAGTTAGAAAGTAAGGCAGAATAATCCAGTAATCCATAGCAATACACAAGAAAGGACTTTCTTATCCATGGGTTTAAGTGTGATGAAAGATTTGCACAGTTGCCATAGTAATTAACAATTCAAAACTAACTATTACATGCTTTGAATCGTGAAAATTCCTCAACATGTCGCCAGTCATTTTACACTTTTTTATGATTTTAGACATAACAAACCACTAGGAAAAAAGTATGCACATAGTAGCTTCCACATTCACTGGCAACTTTGCAAATTTCAGAAACCCTATTCCACCAAATTCCCACAAATCAGCACACATTTCCAACTCACAATAAGTTACATTTTTCACTGGCTGTGGAGCTGTTTTCCCAACACTGCATCATTATTTCTTCAGCATCCTAAGTCTCTGGCATGCAAACAAAACCACCTGACACGTAACTAGCTAAACGTCCATATAACTTTGGCACCTTTTGGAAGAAATACTTGCTGAGCTCATATACTTGAAAAATTTAACTATTGGGACCTTACATTTGCTACAGAAACTCGCTGAGCTAACAGTCTAGAAAAAAGTAGAGCAAACTTTAACTTACTTTCAACAGCAGTGGAGGAGAATCCCACCATCTTTACAATCACAGGAAGAAATAATTTGCTTCATTCATAAAGAAGCTGATAGGAAAAGATCCCAGGGTCAGAACCACCCAGGGTAACTGTGTGAAGTTAACTACAAAACTATCCTGGCAGCTGCATGGTTCACACAGTCCACCGCTCCCTTCCTCCCTCTGATCTGTTATCTCGGCTACCTCCTCTCCCACTTTTTGACTTTTTTTTTTTTTTTTTTCCTTTAGGGGCAGAGCTGCACGTGAGCGCTTGTGTGTGCCACTGAATCCCCCCTCCTCCTGCTTCTGTAGCCCTGAGATCGTGTAGCACCTGGGGAAAGGCCTGCTATGTAAACACACACATGTCCACCAATGCCTAACTCACATTCTTTATTAGCTCGAGTTCGGGGCTGAAGCGTATTATTAACTTGTAACTAGCAGCGCACAATAGAGTCTGCCATCATAGACTGTCTGAACTCAGTGACACTGTGGATACATCCTACACAAAACAAAATGCAAAATCTGGAAAATGAAGAATAATAATGAATAACATACATTTAAACTAACACAAGCAGTCACTGTCTGTTTGACTATATTTAGCTGAAACTCTTCGGCACTTAATTCACTTGGTCTGAATAAAGCAGTCAAAATACAGTGATACTTCGTGCTATGATGCTATACTGAATTTCAAAGCTTTAGGATTCACAGAGAGGACTCCTTGTCAAAAAGCACGCAAACAAGGAGTGTTTTTCATGTAACCTGTAAAAAGTAAACAAATAGATGAATTTGTAATTGGTTATGAGCCATGCCCTGGTTAATCCACACTTGTTTAATCCTATTTTTCCAGTTATCAGTTTGCACAGCTAAGTATGTTCAGTATTCAGTTCAATTTTCTACACATCTCTGTGCATTAAATTGTTGTTCATTAGTATTTTCTGAGTGACAAAAGGCTGGACAAAGGCACTTTAACCAAACAGAGCACTGTGTAGGGTGCACTTAGTACTGGTTTACAGTTCCCTAATGAGGACAGACAGATGGTACTTAGTGGAAAGAGAAGGAAAACATTGAGTTTAACGTGATACCATGGTTAGATGGTTGTAGAGGTGTGTTTTAAAGGTCTGATCAACTCTGAGGGAAGCCAGAAGATTACATTTGTTTTTCTAATGACAAAAGTTACTCAATCTCAGGATGTGTGAGTGTTTTGCAACATTTTAAGACAATATCTCCAAGAAAAGGAGGACACTAAGCCTCTTGTCTGAAAACACATCTCATTTTGCTGTCTCCTAAAAAAATAATGTCAAACCCTGGTGAGAAATTGTTGTGTACAAGTCTAGACTCCTCAGTGTTCCACGTGGACGGCTCGTAGCCTTAAGGCAGACTCACGAGTCCCGGCACGAAACAGCACGCTGCCTTCAGTCACACTAGCTTCACTGAGACCCACACAAACACTCAAATGCACAAACACGCACACACACTACTGAGCACACAATACAGAGGGACTTGGCGGATTTTGGCCTGTACACAACACTGAGCCAGAGGTGCAACTGCAGCATTAAGTCAGATAAGACTCATAAGGAGTAAGCCGAGGAGCAGCATCACATGATGTTTTTAATACTGGCTAAGCCTCCTTCACTATCTTTTCCAACAAGGCTTCTTTTAGGAAGTGTCCTTGAGGCTTAGCACAGTGATAAAAAAAAAAAAAAAAAAAAAAATGCTGTGTACTGAAATATGACAGCTGTTTGGGGTTTTCATAGGCTTTCAATGGGAATATATACAATACACTTACTTTGTCCATGGGCCTGATTTTCAGTGTTGCTGTAATTTAGCTAGAGATAGAAACTGATGACAGGAAAAAAGTGTAAGCAATTCTTTTCGATTTTGCTATATGTATTTGAATACATTAGCTTAATAATGAGTGAGTCTGTCTTGTTCTGCTATAACTCAGAATTCTCCCGGCCACGGTATAACCGTCACCCCATAACTATTTCTAAACCTCTGCTTTGAATAAATAGGTGAATTACACTGAATAGAAACATTATAGTAGATAGTTAGAATTATATTATGTAGAACATAAATAAAATATCTATGTCGGTGATCAATATTTTGCAGACACTTTAAAGTTATTCCCATATTTTCAGGTCTCATAAATGCCACAGACGCATCCTGCTTCGCCCCGTCACGGTTTGTCACGCTCCTCCAAGCTGTGACTAAATGTGACCTTTGACCTCAAGAGTCGTGCTGTGAAGTCTGAACTCGCATTGGGTCTTAGTGTAGGTAAGCAAACAGATGAACACATTCTGCTATTCTTTTTCAAGAATTTGTGTGAAATGTTTGCCTTTTCTGTTATATTGTGATGGAATTGGGATGTGACACTGTGACAATCGGCTAATTTTGCTGAGATGATTGATTTTAGGGATGCACCTATCCAGCTTTTTCACTTCAGATACCGATGTTGATACTTTGGCTTTAAGTTTCTGCGGATATCCCATATCAGCCGATACTATAAGGCAGAAACTGAAAGCAGAATTAATTTCCTTTAAACCCAAACATTGCATGGTAAACAAAACAAAAAAGATCCAAATGTGTTTTTTAACTGTTATTTATCATTTAAAGTAACTACAGGACAGCTTTGCAAAAATAGTCTGATATCATGAGATGTTTGTGCCAACCACCTGTAAATCTTCTTATTCCACCACTTTATAGACCAAAATGGGATTTCGGCTGAATTAATATTTTGTAAGCCGATATACAATCCGGTGCATGCCTACTTGATTGTTTTTTGTTTAGTTTTTTTCCACTTAATGCAGCTCTACATTTCCTCCCACACTCACAATGAGGCGTAAACTCTTCCAGACAAGCATCATTAAACAATATGACGGTACAATGTTCATGCCTGATCAAAACAAATCATTTTTTGTAGGAACACAGCAGAAAGGTGAATGCATGCACTTTGGCATTGGTTTGACAGTATAATCTTCCTTTTAATTTATAAAGATGCAGTTAGTACTTCTCTGTATATATAGTTTTAAGTCAACCACAAATGTTTTTAGTTGACAACAGCACCATTTCTTTGCCTACGCTGCCTAAATAATCTTAATCTTGGCAAACAAATGTTGGGAGTCTCTGTTGCGGCTCCAGATGTGAGAGATTATAATCCACCCTCTTGTAAAGCATGGCCTCCTTTTGCTGAAAAGCATAACCTTATCTGGTGGGGCAAGATGCACATAAAAGGGTCTGTAGGTTAAAGAGTGTTTGGTTTAATCTTATCTCAAAGTCATGTTAGGGTTATCAAAATACCTCCAGTCAACTTGCACATAAAAGCCTCTCCAAAAAACTCAGCAATTCAGGAGATATATTTAAGAATATGTTTTTCTACAGGTCAGCAGTGTTTGGTCTCTTACAGCCTATACGGCATAGAAATTCTTCACACACACAATAAGTAATCGTGAAACTTGAAATCCACCTTGTTCTTAAAATGCTGAGATTGGCAAATAAAGATGATGTGGCAATTAAAGGTCCAATATTACGCAAAATTGACTGTTTTGAGCTATAAATCATGTTAGAAAGCTGTTGCCCCATTAAAAAATACCCAGAGTTGTGCCATGTTTCATTCACACGTTCAAGCAATCCATTATCAGTATGTCTACATTTCCAAATCTCAAAATGCTCTGTTCTTGATTGGGATGTCATGCGGTTTTTAATTGCAGCTAGTAGAGCCCGACCGATATATCGGCCGGCCGATATTATCGGCCGATATGCTTGCTGATATGGGCCGATATTTCACGTGGGCATGTTATACCTCGTTATAAAGCTTAGACTCTCTACATTATGTTCATTTAATCCAATTTACAGACAGATAAATGTCCTCATATGTGGCTCCGCACCAGTATTTATCTGCGGTGTAATTTGTCTGTGTGTGTCCGTACTGTCCCTGAACACACCACAGAGTCACGTCACTTCACTCGCGTGTGTTTGTTTACACCCGCAGCCGTGCGCAACACTGAGATTATATTCTTTTTACAGACAATCTGTTTGAGTTTGGATTAAAAGTACATTTATTAGTGCAGACTTGTGATGTGAGGAGGAGCCTGTGTGAGCGGTGAGTGTTGGAAATACATCGACTTTGAAGCTAGTTTAGGTTTTGTTAGCGATTAGCTGCTGTAGCTCCCGCACATAAACAGGCTGTTTCTATTGGTCTATTGTAAAGTGATTATATTGGCCGTATATTTGTTACTGGACCTGCATTGATATGTAAATGAACTGTGAATAGACGTGTGAATGATCCACATTTATGCATATAATTAATTACCGCGGCGCGCACGTTTTTACAGCTAAAGGCTAATAGCGATAGTTTACTAGCTAGGAGTTATGGGTCGGTCGCGATCGAAACGACTCTTAGTGCCGACTCTTTGAAGCGAACAACGGGAGCCTGCTTCTTATTGGGAACTGTGTTTTTCTCTTTTTCTCACTTTTTCTCTTCAAGCCGCTTGTAGACCCGTAGTTTGACAGCAGCAGCGGCTGAAAACGAAACTTTCAGAAATATGCGTGTGCACAGGATTTTAAAAAAAGTGCATATTTGGCTGCAGTTCAGCATAAAATGAATAAACCAGGACTAATCTTGAGCTCGAGTGAGGGAGAGAGATAGAAACCGAGTCCCGACACTCAGACCTGGTTAAGTTCTGGTTTAGTCCTGTTTCACACATGGTTTAAATCTGTTTTAGTCCTGTTTTAGTCCTTTTTCAGTCCTGGTTCAGTTCTGGTTTAGTCCTGCTTGCAACAAAACAATCTCAAGAGTCGCTTGGGAGCCGAAAGAGCCAGCTGCTTTAGTGAGCCGACCAAAAGAGCCGGTTTTCCAAAAAAAAAAAAATGGAATACCCATCACTAGTAGCTAGAATGTGATGCAAAAATGCCATTAGGCCAATCTACTGTATGTAAATATGATGTAGAGGCAGAACAACAATAAATGTTGCCTAAATAAACCAATTTAGAATCCACTAGAGCCAAACCTAAGTTTTTTAAACAATTCAAGATTTACAGTGAATTTTTACATCACTAAATATATCGGCGAATATATCGGCTATCGGCAGCTCCAACTGCCATTATATCCGTTTCATATCGGCCACAACAAAATCCATATCGGTCAGGCTCTAGCAGCTACATTTTACCTTTTGTTCAGTGCAGATTGGCGATTCCAGGGCTAAAATGATCCAAATGACAATAGTGAAGGTGTATGGAGTTTTAAAAAAATCAACGAAGCACTGCCTGTATTACCACATCACAACGTGTATCTTCCTTTTGAGAGAACTCAGCCTAATTTTGCAGGATTTGTGCGTTAAACTTGAGTGAATGACACAAAACACAACTCAAGATATATTTTTGATAAGGAAACAAGCTTCAGTGTTATCTCAAAGTCACGTTAGGGTTATCACAATACCTCCAGTCACCCTGCACATAAAAGCCAGTCTAAAGAAGTGACCTGCATACTGCTTGCTTGTATTTTCCCACAATAGGCTGTTTTTCTTTGTGCGCTAACAAAAGATGAGGTAAACCAGTGAAACAGATGTGCTTGTGGTTAGTTTTATTGCGATACGCGAAGTAGCAGGAAGTGCCCTTATGCCTAAAGTCTAATGATGACACCGACCTCCCACTCCACACTCCTTT